AAAAAAAAATCAAATGATACAAAGATCCAGTTTTATCAAAAAATATCTTTGATTCAAAAGCAGTGAAAGTTATTTGTATTAAATTTTGACCTTAGAGTACAATTTTTTAATATACCGTGTAATGAAATAGGAAATAAAAAAAAAAGAACTGCTATGTATCAAGATATGTTTGTTATTTCAAGAAAAGGCACTTGTATGATAGTTTGTTATCAGTTAAGTTGGCACCTTTTTTTTGGAACACCATTTTTATTTGACATAATACTTTTGTGTGTGTGTGTGTGTGTGTGTGTGTGTGTGTGTGGTGCTGGGGATTGAACCCAGGGCCTTGTGTATGCAAGGCAAGCACTCTACCAAATGAGCTATATCCCCAGCCCTAATATTTTATTTTACTTATTTATTTTTATGTGGTGCTGAAAGTTGAACCCAGTGTGTTGCACATGCCAGGCAAGCACTCTACACTGAGCTACAACCCCAGCCCAACACCATTTTTGTTTGATAGAACAAATGGAAGACAAATATGGTTTTCAGATAAGGCATTTGGCAAATATTTTCTTAAAACTTAGTGAAAATGAACCAATGATTTTTGAAGAAAACTCCCGATACTTGTTACTGACAAAATTTGCACTTTCAAGTAAAAATAAGAATTTTGTAAAATTTGGGACCAACATTGTGAGCTCAAAAATTTCCTGATATTACTTAATGACTTTTCCAAGGATACAGACAGAGACATTAACAAATGTCATTCACTGCTATTGTCAAATCATATCAAAAGTCCACACTTAGAAGAGGTATAAAAATCAGGAAATTTTCCAAAAACCAACCCATGATGTTTCAAAATCATTCAAGATCAAAAAATCCACTTGAGGGCTGGGGATGTGGCTCAAGCAGTAGCGCGCTCGCCTGGCATTCGTGCGGCCCGGGTTCGATCCTCAGCACCACATACAAACAAAGATGTTGTGTCCGCCGAAAACAAAATAAATATTAAAAAATTCTCTCTCTCTCCTCTCTCTTTAGAAAAAAAAAAAAATCCACTTGAAGGACAAAATAATCCAAAGCATATTAGCATAACAAAGGACAAATTTCACACCAAAACTTATTTTTAAGGGTTCTATTAAGCCAGACATTAAAGAGATTTGGAAATATTTTCAACAATCTTCTCACCAACTTTTCTGTTTTGTTAAATATTTTGGGTGGGGAATATAGCTTAGTGATAGAATGTTAACCTAGCATATGCAAGGTCCAAGATTCAATCCCTAGCACCACAAAAAAAAAAAAAAAAAAGTTATTTATATGAGCATGTAATGACTTTATCACAGTTATTTTAAAATGAATTGACAAATATTTTAAGTGTTTCAGTTTTAATGTCTAATATGGGTAAATAATGACAGACAATCCCACTTAAAAAAAAAAAAAAAAAAAAAAAAAACCTCTTTGGGGCAATAATTTTTAGGTATGCAAAGGAGCCCTGAGACAAAAAGTTTGAGGATTGCTACACAAGAAGCACACAGACAAACCAGACTCCCTTGGTTCTTGAAACCTTTCAGAGTATCAAAGAACCATACCTGCTTTGCAAAAAATATTGTGTCAAGTCTGGAATCCTGAACAACAGAGCCTGCTGGTTCTTCTCCTGGCTGCCACTTGAAAAGAAAAATTAAGCCATGAACTGGCCTACAAAATAAAAAAATAAATTAGTGACACCAAACTCTGACTCTTTTATAAAACTGTTAACATGTTAAATTATAATCAGCTATTTAACAAATACAAAGCTAATTAAGTAAACTATTAAGTAAATGAGAAATTTTTAAGATTGCTACTGCCATTCATAGCTTTGAATGTTGCCTCAGAGCCTAATAAAACTAAAACTTACATAGGATAACACAGAATTATAATAAAAGGTTTATTCTCAAACCTATGGACTATTCACTGATACTTTATATCAATTCATTTAAAAATAGAAAATTAAGAACATAGCAAACTAAAAGCTATTAAACTTGACTGAATTCTAACATATATGAATAAAGTTGCTACAGAATGTTTACAGATGAACAGCTGATAGCACATATATTAAGAAGTCACCTACATTATTAGATTCACAGACAAACCTACTACAGTACGAATGGCTGCCATCATCTAAATACATAATGAAGTCATTCACATTCCTAACAGAATCATTGATGAGCACAAAACATTAAATCACCACTTTAGGATTTTCTCCACTTTTTCACAGTGGCATTCTCCTCATCAAAAATCTTTCCCCATTTTAAAGAGAATTAAAATGATGCATCTTTAGTTAATCTTCCCTGATCTCAGTCACAACCGATCTCTTATATCATCTAAAATGGTTGCTATTTTTGTGGATAAGAGTAAGGTAGGTAGGAGAAGAAAACCATCTCCTTCTTACTATTAAAAACAGTAGCCATATCCCTAAGTCCCCACTTTCCTTTTTAAAAGTCTCTTCCTTGTCCCCATTTCAAGAGTTTAAGAACCCTATTAGTAAAGAAAACTCCTGGGCTGCGGTTGTGGCTCAGTGGTAGAATGCTTCCCTAGCATGTGTGAGGCACTGAGTTCGATCCTTAGCACCACACATAAATAAAATGAATAAAAATAAAGGTCCATCAATGTCTAAAAAAAATTTGAAAAAAAAAAAAGAAAGAAAACTCCTGTGGTCTTCCATTTGCAGATACAGGGTCAATGATTGAGGGTACCAAGGTAAAGGGTAAGGACAGGCTCCAAGAGGAACTCTAATCACAGAGATTGGGTAAGGGGAAAATTCTTTCTGGCATCTATACTGAAACCTTGAACTTTAAGTTTCCCAAGAAAAAAGATGACAATGTATAGGCAAATTCTGAATTACAACTAATGTACATTATCTATTAAGTATGCTTTTGTATAATGACCTATTAGTCATGCTTTTATGATAAATTATTCCATGTTCTAACACTACAATCTACAAGTGAATTTTGTGAAAAACCTAGCAATCAGTACTTCATAGATACAGAATTATAATCTTGGGACTGAATCCCTTAAAAATGACTCTGTATGAGCCTCGAGTTCTATAAAACTAGAATAATACCTATCTCACAGGATTGAAAAGACTTAAAGGAGATAATGTAGTCAGCCTAGGGTAATTCAAATAAAATACATGGACAAATCTTAGTAACCTCAAAAGATTTAAGTATAGAAACATTACTTTTTTTTCTTTTTGTTTTTGTACTGGGGATTGAACCCAGAAGTACTTTACCAGTGAAGGACATGCCCAGCTCTTTTTAACTTTTTTTTTTTTTAACTTTTTGGGGTTTTTTGGTGGTGCTAGGGATAGAACCCAGGGCCTTGTGCATGCAGGCAAGCACTCTATCAACTGCATTATATTCCCAGCCCAAGCCCCTTTTATTGTGAGACAGGGTCTTGCTATTTTGTTTTGTTTGTTATGATAATAGGGACTAAATCCAGGAGCACTCTACCACGGACAGACATACCCAGCTCTTTTAATTTTGAGACAGGGTCTCACTAAGTTGTCCAGGTGGGCCTCAAATTTGCAATCCTACTGCCTCAGCTTCCCAAGCTGTTGGGATTACAGGCACATGTTACCATGCCTGGCTCATTTAACACAACTAAAACTTTACTTACTTTAATTTTTCAAAATTTTCAGGCTCTAAACTCCATATTTCTTCTACTTGGGCTCCTCGGCAACCTGAAATAAGAAATTATTTTGTTTAGAAAACAAAATAACTCATTTCTCCTTCATCATTAAATATTAACTAAAAGAAAGGTATACTTGAGTTCAATAGGACATGGACAAATTAAAATGGTAAAACGTGATATATTAATTAAAATGATAAAATAGAAATATTATATATTTTTAAAAGTTTCAAGAGTTTAATTTTCATTACATCAGCACCCTACAACTGTTCCTTCTATCTCTCAATCTTTGGCTCTTCTTCATCAGTTAAGTCCCCCCTTCTGTCTTTAGCCCTTCCTCCCTACCAAACTGTACACTTTTTCCTTCTGGCAAAGTAAATAGCTACCACTTAAATGACTTTCAAACCACACCTATAGTTCTGATCCTTTTCCTAAACTCCAATTATATACTTTCAACTACTTCAAAGTCACTCCCACCCCTGTTCAAACATACATTTCTTCTAGGACAATGATTTTCAACCAGGGTGATTTTGACCCCCAGAGAACATCTAGCAATGCCTACAGAGATTTTTTTTTTTTTTTCACTATTGTCATGGGGCAGAGAATGGGGGGAGATCACTACTGGCATCTAGTGGGTAGAGATGAGAAATGCCTATAAACATATTGCATTGTACAGGAAAGCTCTGACAAAATTATCTGGCTGCATATCCCAGCTACTGGGGAGGCTGAGGCAGGCTGAGGGAGGAAGATGGCTTAAGCCCAGCTTGGGCAATATAGCAAGACCCGGTCTCATTAAAAAATAAAATAAAATAATAATAATAATAATAAAAGAATTATTTGACCCAAAATGTAAATAGTGCCAATCAAAGTTGAGAAACACTACTGTAGCAGCAAGTATCAGAGTAATCATGTATAAACACTTGAGTCTTCAAATTGCTAGACTGAATTATTTCTGCTTCGTTTACCAGGTATGTGATTATTTAACTTCTCCATTTCCCATACTCACAGATTTGCTGTGAGGAATAAATGACAGAAAGCATGAGATATATTTAACATAGTGCCTAGTATAGTCTAATATTAGCTAGCATAATTATCACAATACAGAAAAACAACTCTATTTACCAGTATCTCCTATGTGTAAAGTGTGTTAATATGTTTTCTCTAATCTTTGAAAGGCCAGACTCCCCTCTCTCCTTTGGAAAGAAACCTCTTTGAATACTTGTATACTTCTGGGGCAAGTTAGTGACCTGAGTTTATTCTGTGGAAAGGCAAGAATTTAATGAATGATGCTTTGGGGATGTAAAGTGGTTTGCTTAAATTCACTATGGCTAGCATATGCCAGGAAACTAATCAAAACCCTTATAAAAATCTGGGCACTTTGTACTATTTCAGATTATTTTCAACTGAGAGCTGGAGAAGCCTTTAAACCACCTATTTAAAAAAATAGCTAAAAAAATTGTTAGGCCAACCAACAATGTAACTTTGGGCATCCCTGATTATGTGCTTCAGTTAACTCTGTTCGACAAATATTTATTAAGTATTCACTCTACTATTAAATAAGTATGTACTAGAAAAGTTACTACATAGATTATAGTGGAAAAGAACTGGAAGAAATCTAGATGTGTACCAACAGATTGAGAGTGATAGATATTCACATATAATCAAGTGGGAGGGGGGAATCTCATAAACTTGAATTTCTGTACAAGTATCAATGAGGGAAGAGGACACTGTGCAATTATTAACACTGGTTACTGCAATCAGAAATCGATTGTAAAAAGAAAGACCAAACATTAAAACACTGTATATTATTATCATACCACAATAAAAAAGAATCAAAGTACTCCAAAATATTCTACACAAGTGGAATTTCAAATTGTGACAATGCTTAAATAATCTCATGTCAAACAAATAAGTGTAAGGAAAACACAGTACTCAAATGTTAGCATCTACCTCCTTACACATATATTTAATACCTAATATAGCATGGAAATAGAATAAGCAATGATTTCAGAGATCTGAGTCCTAATCCCAGCACTGCCCTAAAATTCTTAACCTTGAGCAAAAACATATTTTTTTCCTCAATACACATATAAAACAAGGATATTATACCTGCTTCATCTAATATACAAAATTCTTGTGAGGTATTAAGGTTATAAAACACTAAACACAGCAACTTAATGCAAACCCCCTAATATTATATATTAAATAAAAAGTTAGGGAGGAGAGGAAGTTTTTTGTTTTTTTGGTTTTTTAAAGTTAGTGAAATATTGGCATTTACCAAACATCTTTGGTGTGCCAAGCACAATACTAGGCCATGGCAAGGACAAAAGTTAATAAATTACTGTCAACAATACTTAAAAACCTCACAAATCTAGTAAACAAGGACAATACAGCATGCATATATTAGATATGAAAGGTACACAGGGCATAGTCTAGAAGTTCAGAGGTAGAATGAGCATTACTATAAGCACTGATTTAAAAAAAACTTTCATTATATAAACTGGGTCTTAAATAGGATGATTTATGTTTTGTCAGTATTCCAAAGTAAAAGGGGTTAGTGAATTAAAATGGTACAAGTTTTGAAATATTTATATACTGAATAACACATCTGTATGATGATACTGGTGGGTCTAATAAACAGTTCTAAAACTAGTTTCAAAAATAGTTTCCTTGGACTGGGGTTGTAGCTCTGTGGTAGAGCACTTGCCTAGCATGAGTGAGGCACTGGGTCAATTCTCAACAACATATATAAGTAAATAAAATAAGGGTCCATCGACAACTAAAAACATATTTTTTAAAAAAGTTTTCTTAAAAATAAATCTGGAGGGCTGGGGTTGTGGCTCAGTAGTAAAGCACTTGCCTAGCTCATGTGAAGCACTGGGTTCAATCCTCAGCACTACATGAAAAAATAAACAAATACAATTTTAAAAATTAAAAATGAGTCTAGAAGCTTCTTCACAAAGAAAATATTGGGGGGGGGCAGGAAGCTCTCCCAAACTGTCACCAGAGCCTTAAATTTAATCAACTGCTAGGTATGCTATCTTCCAACAGTTTTGATAATTTTTGATCCCCCTAACCTTACCAAGACTACCGAAAGTAGTAAGGATGGTCACAGCCTCTACATCCCCAACAAAGAATATACCCAGATGTTTTCCACAACCCATTTCTCAGTTGTCCCATGATGCAGATAAATGCCATTTGGCTGGTGATATGACCAAATAGGAAAAACTGATTAACAGTCTCAAGCAACCTCTACAAAAACAAGGCTAGAAAATAATTTGAACTGAATTGGGTATTTCCCTAAATTGGAGATACTCTACTGAACTGGTCCCATTTGGGGGGGAGGAGGGGGGCAACAATTATAATCAACACTTGTGAACCTCCAAGACTATATACTTTTTACTTCTTGTGTGAAATCCAGATCTTAATTTGCTTCTATCCTCAAAACAAAATGAGACACTCAACTGAACTGATCCCATTTGGGGGGGCCCAACAATTATAATCAACACTCGTGAACCTCCAAGACTATATACTTTTTATTTCTTGTATGAAATCCAGATCTTAATTTGCCTCTATTCAAAACAAAATGAAATACACCTTAGGAAATACACCGGGTGTGGTGGCACATGCCCGAAATCCCAGAACTTAGGAGACTGAGGCAGGAGGATCATGGGCAGCCTTACAACTTAGTGAGTCCATGTCTCAATTAAATAAATATGAGGCTGGGGTTGTGGCTCAGCAGCAGAGCATTCACCTACTACGTCGCAAGGCCCTGGCTTCAATCCTAAGCACACATAAAAATAATAAGTAAAGAAAATAAAGGTACTGTGTCCAGCTACAACTAAAAAATATATTTTTAAGAAATATAATTAAATAAATAAAAGGACTGGGGGATATAGCTCAGTGCTAAAGTGTCCCTGGTTCAATCCCCTGTACCCAAAAAAGAAGTGATTATGATAAGCTTTCCTCTTAATAAAATACCATCTTAGACTCAAAGGTCATTTGGATCTGCATTAATGAATAGGTCAGTTGTTATTAATGATGAAATTACTCCAGAATTGCTGTCATGCCAAAATGGGGTGAAAAAAAAATCACTAATCCACCCTGCTATACCTGGGTTAATATTCTGAACCAAACGGAAAGGCCAACACAAAATTTGTCTCTTGTACATACTACAAGATATTAACAGATTTGGTATTGATCATGCTGGTCAGGTCACACTAATCTAAGTGTCTGAAGGAATACTGATTTGGGGTAGAAAGGAATTATAAATTTTGGTGGGAAACAATTCTCAATGGGTTTCTCCTGTTTTGTTTGAAATCTTTACATTTAAGTTGACTATGGATTCAGGTTTACAGTTTCCTTTTCCTATAGTCTGGTTTGGGCAAGGTAATATCTGCCCTTATAGAATGATTTTGGTTTTATTTTTCCATTTTTGGGGGGTATGGGGTGTAGGGTACTGGAGATTGAACTTAGGAGCAATTGACCACTGAGTCACATCCCCAGCCCTACTTTGCATTTTATATTTTATTTAGAAACAGAGTCTGAGTTGCTTAGAGCCTTGCTTTTTGAACTCACGATCCTCCTGTCTCAGCCTCCCAAACCACTGGGATTACAGGTCACCAAGCCTGGCTACATTTTTTTTTTTTTTTAAAGAGAGAGAGAGAGAGGAGAGAGAGAGAGAGAGAGAGAATTTTTAATATTTATTTTTTAGTTCTCGGCGGACACAACATCTTTGTTGGTATGTGGTGCTAAGGATCGAACCCGGGCCGCACGCATGCCAGGCGAGCGCGCTACCGCTTGAGCCACATCCCCAGCCCAACATTTTTTTTTTTTTTAATTTGCAGAGTTGGTATTACTTATGTCTTAGTTAAAATAAAATCTTTGTTTTACTATGATACTACATTTCACTAAAATTTATATTTATATATTCACTGCTTCCACAAATAATTTCCTCTCTAATGATGAACTTTCAAAATGAATTTGCAACAGCATTCACAATATAATCATATGTTTCACTTTCAAAACAGTTAAATCCCAAAAGCTTAGAGGGGTTTTTTGGTACTGGGAATTGAATCCAGGGGTGCTTTGCCACTGAGCTACATTCCCAGTGATGTATTTTTATTTTGAGACAGGGTCTCACTAAGTTGCTAAGTGCCTTGCTAAGTTGCTAAGGCTGGCTTTGAACTTGAGATTATCCCACCTCAGCCTCCCAAGTCACTAGGTTTACAGGAATGTGCCACTATGCTCCACCAAAGTTTTTTTAATTGATGAATTGAATGGGAAAAAAATGAAAATGATTTGAAAAATTGGATTTTTTTCTTTGAAGTATCTAATTTTTTTGTAAAATTCTTTTGCTAATGGAGCCAATCCATCAACAGTTATTTTTTTCATGTGTGCTTATAAAAGTGGATTTATATATCACTCTCTGATGCATGACTTTATTTAAATCATTTTTAAATTCTAAGATTTTTGCACATATGAAATTGAAACAATAGCTGATGATGGACTGAACTGATTTTAAAATAAAATTACCTAGCACCATATTTCTGAAAGTCAACTTTAACATGTCACAACAGTTAAGCTTTTGAATGTAAACTTTATGGCTACACTTGCACACATCAGTGTTATGTCCAAAACTGATCTTGTTTTCTTGTCCTTCATGTCTGCTCTTTTGTAATCGTCTCCACCAGCGCCCAAAGCTGATTTTTTCTTTTCATGTAGGAGAAATATACTACCACTCAACCTGTACTTTAAGGTTGGCAGCCCTGAGAATTCCTTTTTTGAATGTAGCATGTAATGGATGTACTCCTCCTCCACAAAGCGGAGAAGGCATTTCCACATGCAACTAGTGGTTTAAACACAGCAAATTTATTGAATCTATGTTCTCCTATCTCACTACTTTTTCATCTAAAGTCAATGGTCAAGCCAATCACCTCAACTGTCCTTCACTCACTTCATTCTACTTTGCTCTGCACTCCACAAGCATAGTAAACCTTAATTATAAAAATAATTTCATTTGAATATATTCGAACTTCATTCATAGATCTTTGACAGTAAGCCCCCAGTGACTATAGGGCAACCAGACTATACTATATGGCACACAATATGGCCTCAGTTTACCTGATCAGCTTCAGATTCAAATACTTTCCCTGACCATTACATCATATTTTAGTCACTTTGCTAGCTGTTCCCTAATCCATATACAAATAACACCATCAGTTTATGCTTCTCTTCTGTCTGTGCTCTTCATGACCTGTGTTCTTAGTTTGTGAATATTCTTGGCATAGCAATTAAGACACCATAGGAGTTTGTCAGTTGTTCAGAATAGCAGTCAGATTATTCACATTAACAACTCCCAATCCTTACCAGTGTGCCTGAGATATAATAGTTGAACATGTGCTAGAAAAATGATATTCCAAATATTCAGCTATGTACTACATTGACATTTAATTTCTGTCCTGAATACAAGTTTTAACATAATGGTTCTAAATAATACTTGAGGAAATGTAACAAATATGAACTTATTTTCCCAAAAAAGAGGGTGGGAACAATTGAGAGGGAAGGATAAAAAGTATGGAAGTATATGCTGAGTAGTATGGAAGAAAATGAATAAAACTAGAAAGAAATTATGAGGAAAGCATGTGGCCTCTAATGTAGAGCACTACATCAAGAAAGCTCACTTCACCGGAAGCCAAAAATGCCCAGGGAGCAAAAGAACCAGAGAAGTAGTCTGTCAGGTCCACGCAGTCAGCGTGTATGTAAGAGTTAAGGTGTTCTGCTTTGAGTAACTAGAATCTCGAGTTGTTGAGCGGCTTGGGCCTGGGACACCACCCTGAAGACACACCCTGGACTGGCTTCTTCAATAGGGCTGATGGCCTAAGTGATGCACCTGACCACACTGCCCTGGGACAGGGAGGCTCCGCAGAGAAAACAGTGGAAAGGGAAGGACAGGTGCATAAAGAATTGGGGCGGGAAGGCCCTACCGATTCCTGAGCATACAGCAGTGCACAACATAGGCACGATCCTTGCCCTCGTGGTGTGGCTCTCAAGATGACTGTGGAAACAAGACTGCCCCTGAAGGACGACGCAGCACAAGCCCTAAATTCCCCCTCCCGGACTCCAGGTTCCTGAAGTCATTTCTGTTCAGAAGCTGGGCGGCGGTGGCCGCAGGTGTCCACTCCATGCCCAGCTTGGGCCTCCTCCCGTGACCCCCCCCCCCGGCCCAGGACGGTCCCTTTGGTTCTCACCGAATCCTTTAATGAGCTCGGTGAAGACTCCGGGGTCGCTTTCCATGAGGCACCACTCCCCGGCATTGCCCGTCATGGCCCCGGCCACACACCGCCCCACTCCACCTCGCGTTCTCGGCAGCCCCCCGCACCAGCTGCCGCCGGCCACAGATCTCAGCAAACCCGCCGCCGAGCTCGTCAACCACACGTCACCCCGCCTACTTCCCGACAGCCTCCGGGCGCCGTCACCTGCAGCGCGACCCAGCGCAGGAAGACGCTCTAGCCACCCAGGAGACATCGAAACTCTAGGCCTCGCGGGAACCAGCAGCACGTTCGAAAGGGGCGGGGACCTGAGGAGAAAGGGCGGAGATTCAGAGCGCCGGAGGAGGTAACATCCGGGATCCTCGCCGTCTGGAGGGAGGGCGGTGCAGGGGAAGAGGGGCGGGGCTCGCTCCGGAGAACCGAACGTAGAAGTCCTGGTGGTGTTTGTCGGGCTGTGGCTGCTAGTCCTTCTGCTGCTTTTGGTTTTTTTCTCAGTGCTACGCAGGGCTTCTTCTGGCGGCCCTGAGGGTCCCGAGGGTCGGCCGCCAGGCACAGGTAAGGAAATTGCGGGCGGGGGCTGGCAGCTGAAGGCCCTTTGTGCGGTCTGAGCAACCCCGGGACGCGCAGGGTCTGACCGGTCCTCCATCCTACTGCAGAGGCCGGGGCAGACACTTCGCCAACCATCGTTCTCTCCCTCCCTGCTTCACACTCTGGGTAGCGAACCAGCATCGCTCTGGAGCGTTCTCTTTGGGCTCGGCCTGGACGCTCCGAAGGGCGGGTCCTTTCCGAATCCGGGATTGCTCGAGTCTGTACATGCATAGCTCCCACAGGCCGGCGTCTAGAGGTCCGGCTTCACTCCTCCTCTTTCTCCTCCTCCCGCTGCTTCTGCGCGCAGAGGCGTTGTCTTGGATTCTGGGTTTTGGAAGAAGGTGCTTTGTAGGAAGACAGAAGGCGAATTTATCTTAGAGAAAATGAAACACTGAATTTTTTTTGGGGGGGTCCCCCTATGAATTAAGACCAAACTTTCTCATGCTCAGAAAGGAAACTGAAGGACTGAAACCCCTAACCTTTTTTTGCCGGCGCCAAAGAAGCTGAGTGCAAAAATTGCCCCCTCCTCGGGTCTAACACACGCTAACTAAATTTGCATATGTACGTTTCCTGCCTTTTGTCTTATTTTGCACTCTCTTCTTCCCTGCCTCCCTCCAAAAGTTCTGCTCACCTTCAGGGACTGGGAAGATAGAACTTTTAAAACAATTTTCTCGTGTCTTCTTTCAAAGCTGGCTTTAAATAAAACCTGTTACCTACCAATTTGACTTTGAATATTTCTGATATTAAAATCTCCGACTAACAAATAATGGGGGAGAGGAGAGACATCTCTTCTAAAGCTCATGGGGATGATAGACTGGTGCAAGGGGATGCGATGCCTCTAAGGAAAATTATGTTTTAAAACATATAGCCTATTAATCTAAAACATTTGGGATGATTCTAAAACTAGAAGAAGAATGGAACAAAAAATGGCTACTTTAACTGAATCACCCTCATTCATCAGGTTCTTACAAGGTACTGTAGTATTAAAGTCTTGAATATGTGTGTGCTTCATTCCTTAAAAGCATTTTCCAAGACAGGCCTTTGGCTTGGAGGGGAGGGTGCTTTAGTGGATAGAACTCTTGACTCCTTCCTTCTCTAACCCTTGAGTTAGGGAGGATTGTGCTACAGAATTTGTGTGAAGCTGCAAAACTCATGGTAAATTTTACAGAACGAAAGAACAGCTTTTGTAAAACAAGCGTGAGTATATTGTGGAG